TTCAACGTGTAGAGTGGGCCTTAGACGTCTTCTCGGGTCGGAACGTTACAAATGGTATGAGAGCCAACTCTCGCTGTTTTCACGGACATATGGCTCGGAAGCTCGAACAGGTTGCGCATGGCTCTGCAAGAGCATGGCACTTGGGGCGGGGAGCTGGGAATACGGATGTGGCCAAGAGAGTCGATCATGGACATTTGTCCTGCTAGGGTAGCTTGGTTCAGCATTCGACGAGGACCTCGAATCCTTTGAGGGTGAGTGGATGTGAGACCCAGCCCATTGGGCTAGTTGGGCCGAACTGGATTCGGGGATACTGTAGCTGCGAAAAACACTGTAGCTACAGAGTTTAGTACAGGTTGGAGGAGAGTTGAGCCAGGTTAAAAGCCTGGACCTAGGAGGCTGTTAACTCCGAATCGATCCTTTTACGCGAAGCGAGGACGAAAGTGCAAGAAAGTTAATTAGCAGGTGTGGTTTATTCAATGTGTAGAGTGGGCCTTAGCCGTCTTTCCGGATCGAGGCGTTACAACAGTCATCAACTATAAAGTTGTAACTTGATCAGATATGGCCGAAACTTCTATTCTATTCCGCCCACGGACTCAATAGCATCATGCTAGCGTGCTACGTGGTTTTTGGCCCTAAAAGTTTATAGCCACAATAATAATTTGAACCAAAGTAGGTCTCTATCAGATTCATTGGTGAATTATCATTTTACCAGTTTTACTAGGTGTGCTATCTCCCATCTGAGTTCCACTTCGTATTGGATAGGTACTTCTTTAATTTCATTATAAATCTTCCTTTTCTCTTATTTGATTTTCTTATAAGTGGTTTTGTTTCTTTGTATGATTGTATTGGTGGCTTATTTTAATACTCTTGTAATAAGAGTAATAATAATTAAAGAAGACTATGTATCGTTCATAATTGCTAGGCGTAAAGATTTTGATGAAAAAAATATCATCAAACAACTTCTTTAATTGATTATCTAAATATTGTTGTCTTCTATTCCAAACTTCTCATTAGCGAAAATATATAGAAAGAAATATAAATAACTCTCAAAATGATGATTTAGCCTGACACGTGCAAAAACGAACTGCCTACTGATTGGCAGGCTGCTTTCTGATGGTACTAGCCTGACACGTGCAGCTTCGTGGTGATTGGTTGCCAAGACGAGCACCAAGGTTTGGTTGGCGGCATACAATACGCCCTGCTCAGCCTGGCTATGAGGAAACGAGAATTGTTGTGGTTTCTTCTGGCATGTCTCGTGGGGGCGCAAGTGCACACGTGTCGTGGCTCGTGCGAGAGAGCGATAGCATCTACGAGGCAGAAAGCAAGCAACCAAATAAATTATTTTACTATATATAGGTGTATATTAAAAACTATGTATCTATAAAAATAGAAACGTCTTATAATTTAGAATAGATGGAATATGTATCAAAAACCTGAATGAATTATAATTTAAAGAAAAATTGAAACAGCGGTAATAGTAATCACCAATATGAACTTCTTGCATGGGTTTCGTTCCACTGCGTCTCGGATTTTTGGGAGGAGGAGGAGGCTTGGCAGCAGGCCAGCAGCATATGCGGTGTGTGTGGAGGTTAACCATCAGTGGAGAAAGAGGATAAGATCGTGATGGGAACGTGTGGAGCATGTTTCCGTATTGAAAGCTTGGGGACCATAGACGATTTATATATCATCATTATATATAGCCGAATTTCTATGCCAACGGAGCTTGGAGAAAAAAAATCTAATATAAATAGAAATAAAAAAAGTCGGTAATCTATGAGTAACACATTATCATGCATATCAGTTTGGTGAAACTATGAGCACGCTGACATTTGTCAATTTAGATCCATGCCCGCACATGCAAAACTATAAATCGATAGATACGTAAGGGAACAACCACTATGGGGAAGAGTATAGTCTTTCTCTTCTTTCTTTTTTTTGCCGAATTACATAATATGGATGCAAAAAAAGTTTATAAATAGACTCATGCACTCATTTCTACAAAAAGAGGATTTTCTGTCTGGCACTGAAGAAAGTAGTCTTTCTTCTACCGTACATTTCCTTCCCTTAAGTGGCCACCAAAATGTCTTATATGCCCATCTCTATATCAGAACTATGTGATGTCAAATAAGCAAAGCATGAATGTTTGTGGTATCAAATAAGAAAGCATGAATGTCATAGTTCTGAAATAAGGAAGAGATCAGTTCTGGTTTCAAAGATGGTTTTGATTATATTTATTTTGAAAAAATAATAAAATAAGTAAATCGTTATAATTCATAAATATTTCTTTTTAGTTCAAAAATATGAAATTGATATCTATCACTTCAAGACCAACCGCTTTAGTTTTGGTAATTTCTTCATTCGTGTTCATTTGAACAATTTAAAAATTTTGAATTTTAAAATATAAGAACTTTAAAAAGAATTTTAGGAGCATAAATTATTTCAAATAAAACAGTTGTGAGACCCAGCCCATTGGGCTAGGCCATGTTTAGATTGCAAAAAATTTCAACCCGATGAATAGTAGCATTTTCGTCTTATTTGGTAAATATTGTCCAATCGTGGACCAACTAAGCTCAAAAGATTCATCTCGTGATTTCCAATTAAACTATGCAATTAGTTATTTTTTTTACCTACATTTAATGCTCCATACAAATGGCTAAAAATTGATGTGATGGAGAGAGAGTGAAAAAACTTAGAATTTAGAGGTGATCTAAACAAGGCCCTAATTGGGTTGGACTTAATTCGGGGGGGGGGCACTGTAGCTGTGGGAGAACACGGTAGCGACGGGAGTTAGAGCCCGTTTGGCCGGGCTTCGAGCGGCTCCGGCTCCTCTGACTCCTCCCTGTTCATCTCCTGTAGTGACACTGTTTATCAGAGATGTTTTTCTCTCTCCTCCTTTCCTCTCTCTTCGGCAAATGAGCGGGCCGGAGAAGCTGTTTTTTGCTCCTCTGGCTCCAGCCTCTGCCTTGAGCCGACGGGAGCCCGGCCAAACACGCCCTTAGTACCATCTTCGAAGCTCGAAGGAGAGTGAACCAAGTTAAAAGCACGGACACGGGAGGTGTTAACTCCGGATTGATCCTTTTGCGTGAAGCGAGGACGAAAACGCAAGAGAGTTAATTAGCAGGTGTGGTTCATTCAACGTGTAGAGTGGGCCTTAGACGTCTTCTCGGGTCGGAACGTTACAAATGGTATGAGAGCCAACTCTCGCTGTTTTCACGGACATATGGCTCGGAAGCTTTCGAGCAGGAGTTGCGCATGGCTCTGCAAGAGCATGGCACTTGAGGCGGGAGGCGGGAATACGGATGTGGCCAAGAGAGTCGATCATGGACATTTGTCTGCTAGGGTAGCTTGGTTCAAGATTCAACGAGGACCTCGAATCCTTTGAGGGTGAGTGGATATGAGACCCGACCCATTGGGCTAGTTGGGCGAACTGGATTCGGGGATATCAGAGCTGCGAAAAACACTGTAGCTACAGAGTTTAGTACAGGTTGGAGGAGAGTTGAGCGGGTTAAAAGCACGGACCTAGGAGGCTGTTAACTCCGAATCGATCCTTTGCTTGTGCCAAGCGGGGGACGAAAGTGCAAGAAAGTTAATTAGCAGGTGTGGTTTATTCAATGTGTAGAGTGGGCCTTAGCCGTCTTTCCGGATCGAGGCGTTACAACAGTCATCAACTATAAAGTTGTAACTTGATCAGATATGGCCGAAACTTCTATTCTATTCCGCCCACGGACTCGATAGCATCATGCTAGCGTGCTACGTGGTTTTTGGCCCTAAAAGTTTATAGCCACAATAATAATTTGAACCAAAGTAGGTCTCTATCAGATTCATTGGTGAATTATCATTTTACCAGTTTTACTAGGTGTGCTATCTCCCATCTGGAGTTCCACTTCGTATTGGATAGGTACTTCTTTAATTTCATTATAAATCTTCCTTTTCTCTTATTTGATTTTCTTATAAGTGGTTTTGTTTCTTTGTATGATTGTATTGGTGGCTTATTTTAATACTCTTGTAAGAGTAATAATAATTAAAGAAGACTATGTATCGTTCATAATTGCTAGGTGTAAAGATTTTGATGAAAAAAATATCATCAAACAACTTCTTTAATTGATTATCTAAATATTGTTGTCTTCTATTCCAAACTTCTCATTAGCGAAAATATATAGAAAGAGATATAAATAACTCTCAAAACGATGATTTAGAGAACGAGCTTTAGAAAAACTCTTAGAGATGCTCTTATCTCACACCGCTCGCTAATTTATATTCCGCATGTTATATATGGAACATAACAGCAGTCAAAACAGCACCTCAACGAAATTAAGACAGGAGCTATGAAGTACTAGTACGTCAGCGCACGAGTCTGCCCCATGATTATGCTTTTTCCTAACAAATTATATAGTATCAGCAAAGATAACCAAGCACGCATTTTGCCTTGGCCGCAAATTACACCGGCAAAACCCGATAAGGTGAGTCAGCCGTCAATAACCAACCCAACCAGCTGCCCGTCCGTTTCACTGTAAAGCCAGCCATCCATCCGGCCGGCAGCTAGCGTCGCTCGCGGGCCCTTGTGCCGGATGCTGGAGGGTTTTTTCCTTTCCTTTCCTTTCGTTTCCTCCATGACCATGTGGATGCATTTCTTTCTCCACTCGTACAACACACACTCCTGTCCTGCTGCTACCACCACCACCCGGCCCGGACCCCGGGCGTTTTCTCTCTCCTCTCCCCCGCGCTTTTATATAAGCCATGGGTGGCGCACTCGGTGCCGGGCGTCAGCTGGTCAGCACACCAAGAAGAAAGGCCATCCATCTTCTCTTTGTAGTGCGCGCTGCACGCTTGCACTAGCTAGCTAGTCAGCGGCACAGCCACAGTGCACCACCTCTCGCCGCCGCAGCAACGGGAGCGAGAAGCTAGGAAGCACAGCCACCGCAAGAGATAGGCGACGACAGCACCAAGTGAGAAAGAAAGAGGAAGCAGCAGACGAAGTTAAGAGAGAGAGGCAGCTAGCCATGACGATGAAGCAGTCGAGGTTCAAGAGGATCTGCGTCTTCTGCGGCAGCAGCCAGGGGAAGAAGCGGAGCTACCATGACTCCGCCATTGAGCTCGGCAACGAGCTGGTAACGAACTCTCGCGCCTCGCCTCGCCTCGCCTCGCCCTGTCTGTCACTCACAACACCCACTGCACGCCCCACTTCGCTCTCTGGTTCTGTCGCCTGCTAATCGCCTCCTTGCAGTTGCAGGCTTGCAGCTAGTATGCATGACTTTACCATCCATGCATGCATCTTTCATGTTTCAAAAAACAAAAAGAACTCTCCACCATCTCAGCTAGATTAGCTAGGACACGTTCTCTCGTGCCGTAGCGCGCGCGCACACACACTTGCACAGTAAAGTCGTATGCAAAGTTCGTCTGCAGTAGTAGCAGCAATACAGTAACTAGTACTCTAGTAGTCACCATAACCACCAACCAGAGCGAACCGGCTTTAGTTACTTTGGGCAGACAGATGAGATCCCTAGCTTGTCTTTCTTCCGCTTCCGTCAACCCGTCGGTTGGCTGGTTCGTGAAGAAGTACTGCTGGCTGGTTTATGTGAGAGAAAAATATTGTTCCGGCTACAAATTTACGATCGTATACAATCGTTTCACCCCAGCGAACAGGCCGTGAACCGGACCCCAACCAAGGCAGACGGGAGGAGTACTCTGCTTTCTGGGTGCCTGGGGCTCCCTGCACGGCTGCACCCACTGCACCCTGCCTCATCCGGCTGCCTGCAATGAAAGTGAAAACTCACGAGTTACCATCAGCGCGGCATGGGCAGCGAGCGGCTGCGCGGTCACCGCCAGTCACCACCGGCTGGCCCGGGCCGGGCCTACCGCATTGACGCGTCCATAATGAGTGAGACCGGCGGCTACCACCAGGTCACGAGACAGGCAGAGCGAGAGCGGGCACAGGAGCACGCCCGGGCCACACCACATGCGCGGACCGCACCGCACCGCACCGGGGAACAACACAGTTCGCGCCGCGCGCCCACACACGACTAGTCATGCCATGCGTACTAGTACTGGTAGTAATCGGTGGCTTTTATTTGTGCGCGCTCTGCAGGTGGCCCGGAGCGTCGACCTGGTGTACGGCGGCGGCAGCATCGGGCTGATGGGGCTCGTCTCCCAGGCCGTCTACGACGGCGGCCGGCACGTCATCGGGTAAGCAAGCTGCAAGCAGTCACCGTCGCCTCATCCCCAGAAGAATGTTTTTGTGTGGTGTGTGTGGCTTGCCTTTGCCTGTTCCTGTGCTGATCGCTTCTTTTTGTCATGTTGCTGTCCACGCGCAGGGTCATTCCCAAGACGCTCATGACACCAGAGGTATGTCTGCCTGCCTGCCTGCCGTCCCCCTGCCCTGCATACCACGCCTAGCACTCCCACTACACACCACTCACTACCTATTCGATCGGTTGCATGTCAGTGCCACATAAAAAGCTGCTTAACAAGGAGAAAAGAAGCAAAAAAAAAAAAAAACTCGTCAAATCTGATGCCTCTCTGCCGGGCCGGGCCGGGCCCTCCCAATAATAATCATGAGCACGCACGCGCTCACGTTGGCGACTTGTTTTTAGCATTCCGAGTGCGTGTAGGGCGTCGTAGAAGTGGTTATGAAATGGGGCTTGGGAGTTTGGGCTCTGCTGCTGGAGTCCCGGGGGACATGGCACTTGACGCATAAAAAAAATCGGACTGATGACCAGCAGCAGGCCGCGATCGAGAGAGCCGGTCATGCTTTTGGCACGAATCCCAGATCTTGGCGTGAGGATAAACTAGTGAGCTAGGAAAAGCGCCGCTTTGCGGACGGATGTTAGTTTGTTCATTAGGGGGGCTGAAGAATTCCTTTCCTTTCCCCCAAAAGTCCTGCGGTGGCATCATCCGTCCCCAGCTGCCTGGTCGTCCCGCCGGGGAAATTTTTGTACTAGGACAGAGAGATTTGTATTCCCAGTAGGGTCTGAACAAGCTTTATTTAGCGGCCTGGCCTCCCAGTTTCAGAAACGGACACTGAAATATTTTGAGATTTTTTTTTACTTCTGCTCAACTGTCATGACTCTCTACAGAATTCTACTAGTACTCGCATGTCATATATAATTATTAAACCATTGGTCCAGACTGCAGTGGGCATTCATTCATAATTCATTCTCATGTTTGTCGCCTACTAAGTACTAGCTTGCTGTGGTCCTCTTCCTGGTTACTCACCGACCTTTTTACCATGTCCAAAGGGGGTGAAGTTCCAGGGCCGGTTTCTGTTCTGATCCCTCCAAGCAAATACTACCATGCTTCTCATTACCCAGACGTAAACGCAGCGCTGCAGCAGCATTCGCGGTGGTCGGGTCGTATCGTATCTGAATTCTGAACTTGCCAGGAGATAAATTGCATTGCGTGTGTTTCTTGGCATGCAGATCAGTGGCGAGACAGTCGGGGAGGTGCGCCCGGTGGCCGACATGCACCAGAGGAAGGCAGAGATGGCGCGGCAATCCGACGCATTCATCGCCCTGCCTGGTAATAAGCCACGGTCCATCATCCATGCAGCAGCACTGCGTTTTAACTGTTTTATGGAGTATTACAAGTACCACCGGCGGTAGTAGATGTAGATGGATGGATCTCTCTAATGTGTACCAGTAGCACAGTGACTCGTGCCTCTTCATCTGGCGTGCATAGTGGCACGCAGCGCTTCACATGCATCATGCATGTACAGTGCGTAGGCACGTAGCGTAATAGCGTGGCCAATCATTGACGCAGAGCTGAGACACGTTGTTCACCCGGAGCTAGCATGAGTACAGTACAGAGCACTCCTACGTGGTATGTAGTCTTGGTAGACTGGCGTGTAAAGCTGAGTGAGACGCATGGACTGTTCCATTCGAACTTGAAGACAGAGCTGAGCTGAGCCCATCGAGATGGGTTCGTTGCATGCATGCAGGAGGGTATGGGACGCTGGAGGAGCTGCTCGAGGTCATCACGTGGGCGCAGCTGGGCATCCACCACAAGCCGGTAATTGCCTAGCTAGGCGCATGCATGTGCCGTTCATTCTGTGCTGCTGCTGCTGCTACTACTAGCTAGCTAGCTAGCTAGCTCTTGCATGCAGATGCAGCACACCGAGAGGTTTTGGTTTGCTCTGACGAACGACCGCGCTACGTACCTTCTTCTCCTGTGATGCATGCAGGTTGGGCTGCTGAACGTGGACGGCTACTACAACTCGCTGCTGACCTTCATCGACAAGGCCGTGGAGGAGGGCTTCATCAACCCCAGCGCCCGCCGCATCATCGTCCTCGCGCCCACCGCGCAGGAGCTCATGGACAAGCTCGAGGTTTGTGCATGGATCGATGACCAAAACTTGCTCCCAAATTCAGTTCATCATCCGTTGCTAATGTACGTCATGCATCTTGTGCAAATGCGATCGATGTGCAGGAGTACGAGCCCTACCACGACAGGGTGGCGTCCACGCTCAACTGGGAGACGGGCCACCAGCTGGGCTACTGACACTACTACTGCCACCCACGCAAAGAGCCGCCAGAGCCAGCGCGGCAGCGCCTGAAGCAGGCAGGCAGGCGATTGGGACATTTGATCGATCGGGCCGGGGAATTAAGGATTGGGAAATGCTAGCCGTCAGATTGGGATTTTTCTTTTTGTTTTTAACTTGATGGAGCAGATCGGTTTGGAGTGCCGAAGGAAGAAAAAAAAAGGGTTTGGTTGGGGTAGTAGCTAGGAGGAGTACGTACGTACGTGCTGGTTTTGTATATGATGCCTTGTGTTTGCTTCCACTGAGGATCGATGATGGCTTTGCAGTGTTGTTTGTAGTAGCAGTAAAAAGAAACTTGACCGGTCCCCCCTCCCTTCTGTAGTACGTTCTAGTAATTGTATTAGCAGCCAGTACCTGCCTATGTATGTTAGCTTCAAGATGCTGAATTCGATTGAATACAGCAAGTGTGTAATACAATTCAGCAGATCTTTTGGATCGAAATCCCCCCCCTCTCTCTTTTGCAGACCTTTTCTGAGTTTCTGTTGCTCTAATCTTGCACTGTAATTAGTGTTGTGTTCCTCCCATAAACCAAAAAAGACAATCGACCACGATTTTTGACGTTGCCATACATGTGCCGACCACGGTCCTGAATAGCGCTATGCAGTCAGTTTTTGAATTTGTTACGAAACCGCTAATCCTGAAAGAACTATAGTTGTCGTTGCCACTTTCCAGGAGTAGGAGTACTAGTTGTTTACTCTTTTTTTCTCTCGCCTCTGCTGGCTGCTGCCAAGTCGTGAAACTAGCCGTTCAAAACACTGCTGACCGGAAGATGCTGCACCGGCCGGCCACCGCCGCAATGGAGAGAGAGATCGCGAGAGAAAGGAAAAGGGACATTTGCACCGCGCCGTTAGCCAGTGGTGGACATCTCAACGAGAGAGTGGTGGTGGCGCTGTGCCCTCGGCGCCGGGCTACAGCCGGCTGCAGGTACTGTTCAACCTCATCTGAACAGCTGCCGCTGCCGCTGCGGCTGCACAGCTTCACCTGTAGCTGATGCTGTGCAGCGGGAGCTGCTGCAGCCGCGGCTTCAAGCAAAGGCGAATTGCGTCAGGTGCCGAGGTCGAGGTGCACACGAGCCCGCAGCGAACTGGATCGGAAGCCCATACAAGAAGAATTACCGAGCCGAGCCGGGAAGGGAGCACTTGGACCTGGGCCGGGCCGGGTCGACCGAGCGGAGCGAGATGCTTCGCCCCCTTCTGGAACCTTCTCCCATCCTCCCCAACCAAACCGGCCCAGCACGAAACGCACCAATCGCGTACCTCCCCCTCCCCTTCGCCCTCGGCGTCTCTCGCTCCGGCAGCTGCGCGACGGCTTGGCTTGGATCGCATCCTCGTCGGAGCTACCATGGTCAGCCATCCTCCTCTCTCCCCCTGCCCCGCTCAATCTCCGTGTCGCGCTTCCTATGCACGCGACGGCGGTAGAAAACCACCCTGGCTTTGTTCTCAATCTCCTGTTCCAGCGTTCGCCTCGTTGGGTTGAGAGGAGATGCGATCCCTAGTTGCTTTGCTCCTGTTGGGGATAGGCTACCGTTCGCGAGATTTAGGGTCCGTTGGGTCGCGGATTGCTTTCCTGCCCGTTCGAATTGCTGGCGTTCTTGGCGTGATGTGGGCGGGCGCGCTGTGGTCGGGCAGCGCGATGGGACGAAATGGGATTTTCGGTACATTTCTGGGTAGACAAATATAAGCTGCTACTATCTTTCCATGGTCTTACGCGCTCACGCTGTAGGGTATGACAGTTTTGAATTCGACAACATGTAAAGAAACAGAATACGATTTTACATTAGCAACCACCTCAAGGAAACAAAGAAATTTGGGACACCTAAATAAGCTAAAAATCTGCACCATAAGGTTGGAGCAAACTTCTCGCGTGCTACTGTGAAATTAAATTGCCGAAAACCTTATATTCCACCAACTGCCTCTCTATCACCAGGCTAGGACCTGTGTCCTTGTGCTTTGTGGTTTTTAGCCCTAAAAGGTTATGGCCACAATAATATTTTGAACCAAAATAGATCTATCATATTCGATGGCACCTTCTCGTTTTCATGGGTTTCCAAGGTGTACTTTCTCCCGTATGGTCCGTTTTGTGTTGGATAGGTTGTTGAGTTGTACCCATACCCTCTGAAAGAAGATTTGAACATATTTAAATGCTTGATTTACACATTTACATTTGGATGCTCATTTATGTGCTTCTTTTTTTTATTTCTCAGGCTGGGAAGCTTATTGCAAATCTAATTGTCATGGGCTCTACGATTATAGGAAGAGCTATGCTTCAGGCATATCGTAAAGCACTTGATAGTAAGTTCTGATGCCATGAGCTTCTTCATGACCCACGTATAGTCTCTGCCAGCTGCCTGTTCCTTTTATAGATAAAAATGATAGGTGGTAGAAGGCGTCCATCAATTTTGCAATCAAAGGTTACTTAACTGGTACATTGATTGATGGGGAAATTGGTAATTCTGTTTGTCGGTGTTTTGGACCGGGGGGTCCTCAACCAACCAGTAAATGTGAACTGCGTGCCCCTAATCCCGGATGGTGATGCAAAGAGACACAACGTTTATACTGGTTCAGGCAATCGATGCCCTACGTCCAGTCTGAGAGATCGATCTTGTATTCCTTGCACCGAAGTGCTAGTAGTAGGGGGTTACAAGCACAGCGAGAGAGGGAGCTAATCCCAGGTCTCGGCGAGGTGTCGTGTGGGCGGCTTGAGACGTTGCTCTCAGGCGGCTGGGATGCGTATGTGTGTGTGCTATCAGGTGTTCTTTTTCTCCCCCTAGAAATGGCCCTGGCTGCCCCCTTTTATAGCTGTAAGGAGGGAGCCAGTAATACATGAGAGAGCTATACGTGGAGCCTTAGAAAGAAGATCTAGTACCCTATCCCTGTAGCAGCACAGTGTCGAGAATGGCAATTGGTACTTGATCACTGGCGCGCCGTGCTGGCCAGGCCCGAGGTTGTTGAGGTCGTGGGGGTCCTTGTTGACGTCTAGTCAGTATGGCTTCCACTGTAGGAGGCATGCCGTGCCTTGTGTGTTCTTGACTTGGTGGAGTCCGAGGGCTGGCGGGTCTTTGTGGTGATCGTCTTGAGGGCTGCTGCTGCCGAGGCCTCGGAGGTGACCCGTGTATGATGCGGGGTCTCGGTGGTCGCGTCGTGCAGTTGCTCAAAGGAGAAATGGGAGCGATCGGTGAGGGGATGGTAAAAGGAGATTTGACATTGTCCCCATCGCCCTATTCTTTGTACCTGTCGATCATGGTCGTCGTCGTAGTAGGTGCGACCGGGCGACTTAAACGGATGTGACGGCTTGCGGAGGGACGGTTGAGGCGAGGCGACGAGGATGCAGGGACGAGCCGGACTCGGCCGAGGCGGAGAAGGAATAATACGTCGAGAGGCCTCGCCGGGGGTCTCGGATGAGGCGAGAGAGAAAAAAATGCGTTGGGGGCCTCGCCGGGGTCTCGGACGAGGCGGAGGACGACAGCGGTTGGTCTTTCATGTCGATTCCGAGACTCACTGGGACCCGGACTTGACCTCCACGCCACTTTGTCCTTAGCGCAGAGTTAAGCGGCCTGACAGGCGATTCCGGTCCCCCCGTCCGTCGGTCATTCTGCTGTCTGACAAAGGCCGTGCGGTTGACGTTCTGAGAGGAGTAGGGGGCGATTAAGCGGACGTGATGTTTTGTCGGAGTCGGTCGGGGACGGAGGTGGCGAGGTTGTTTCCGAGCCCGACCTCGGGTAAACGGAGAATTGGTATCCCGGTAGAGGCCTTTGAGGCGGGGCCTCGGCGAGACGGAGGGCTTTGGCCTTTCGTGCGAGGCTTGGCGCAAGCCTTGGGCTTAGTCGGAGAATCTGCCGAGACCTCGTGGTAAATCCTTGGCTTTGATTTTTGCAAGGCTTAAGCAATATTTTGGTTCTTGCTTAGGGTACCCCTTCTTGTGGTATCCGACAAGTAGCCCCGAGCCTCGGGAGGAGCGCGGGCACTCTCCCGAGGTTTTGGACGAGACTTGGCTCAGAGTGACTCCGTCGGGATTGTGTTTTGTATTTGGTGGTTCCGGTGGTGGAGTGTGAAGCGCTTCCTGGCCGATGTAGTCTTCAAGGCCCTGGAGGAGTGGAGTTACTCCTTGAGGGCTTTTTTTCGTTTTTGCGTTTGAGCGAGGAGTTTTTATCGATTTGCCGAGCCCACAAACGCAAGTTGAATTCTTGGGGTCTCGGCGATCTGCGGGAAAAGCCCTCTAGCCTCCTTGACGGAAGCGAGAGGTCCGTCGAGGATCCCCCTGACTTTGGGTACGACCCTCACGCTTCCTTTTCGCTCGGAAGGAGGGGTGGAATGTGCCAGGCTACCCTCGATGGGCGCGAGCGTGGGCACTTCCGGTGAGCTGTTATCGGGTAGTCCGAGTGGAGGCCCGAACCCTGTTCGCTAAGGGTCGGTTAGCGGTCCGGAGACGCACTCCAAGAGTACCAGAGGATTTCTCTAGTGGGTGCCGGGGCCGTTCGCTGGGCCTCGGTGGCTCGGTGCCTCCCTACGGTGGGATCCCATTCGGAGACTTCCCTGCCGGTCTCGGACATGACTTAGGACGCCCCGAGCGATCGAGCGATCGTTCGCTCGGGCCTCGGCCATTCGTAGGCTCGCCCCGAGGTCGTCCCTGACTCTGTTGCCCTGGGGCGACTGTCGAAACCTCTGGAGGCCCAGCCTTCGAACCCCTGGACCGTAACGGGCTTGGTGCCCTTTATCGTATTTGTAACGGAACTTTTAGCGTGGACTTAGACCGTTTGTCTTTGTCTTGGGCGCAGGAGGAGCCCCCGAGCCTTCGCCAGGAACAGGAGGGCGGTTAGGGGTCCCCTGGCTTTTTCATCCGACCCTCACATATCCTTTTCGCTCGGACGGAGGGTTTTGTCGAGCCCACTCTGGTGCGAGCCAGAGCCGCTGGTCTCGGCAAGGTTGCAGGAAGAGCCCCTAGCCTCTGAGCGGAGCGAGAG